TTTCACACATCTGCTTTGTTAAAGAAAGTATGCAATATAAACAACTAATCGGAAATGCTTACTTACTACTGTCAGCAATGATAAGAGCTTTTTTGGTTCTTCATGTTTTCTGCTTCTGATCTGAATGACTCAGAGTAGTTAATCTCAGCTTTTGCTTCTATAGCTGGGCTGAATTAATTTCACAAACACTTCCTCAGATTGAAAGATATGAGGATAGGGAGGTAGCTCTGTGTGTGCAGTGGTGCAGCAAATATGCTGTTAAAAGCAGAAATAGCATTCTCATCCATCTATGATTCTCTGCAATAGTAAAGAGAGAATAAGACCCTTGAGCTTATGCAAAGCTGCAGATAATCTTGATCTTAATTAAATTCTAAAACTTTACAATGACAGCTTCTGAGAAAAAAAAAATCAGGACCAGAATAACAAAATAATACAGTAGGAAGGGACTTCCTACTTCCAGTCCAACCCCCTGCTCAGGCAGGAAACCCTATACCATTTTAGACAAATGGTTGTCCAATCTCTTCTTAAAAATTGTTGGAGAACCCACAGCTTCTGGAGGCAAGTGTTCCACTGATTAATTGTTCTAAGTGTCAGGAAATTTGTCCTTAGTTCTAGATTGGTTATCTCCTTGATTATTTTCTGTTCATTGATTCTTATCCCGCCTTTAGGCGCTTTGGAGAATAGGTTGACCTCCTCTTCTTTGTACTATCATGTCACCTCTAGTCCTTCTTTTTATTAAACTAGACATACCCAGTTCCTGCAACCGTTCTTCATATGTTTTAGCCTCCAGCCCCTAATCATGTATGTTGCTCTTCTCTGCACTCTTTATAGAGTCATGTGATGACCAGAACTGGATGCAATATTTCAAGTGTGATCTTACTAAGGTATTATAAAGTGATATTAACCTTCACGTGATCTTGATTCTATCCCTCTCTTAATGCAGCTTAGGACTGCATTGGCTTTTTTGGTAGCTGCAGCACATGCCTGGCTTGTATTTAAGTGATTATCCACTAGGACTCCAAGATCCCTCTCGCAGTTACTACTATTGAGCCAGATACCACCCATACCATACATGTCAAACTCGCCACGTCATGTGATGTCTCATGACATATCGCGATGTTTTTTGCATTGCCAAAGCTCGGGTGGGCACGGTCTCTGTATGATGCAGCCGGCCCATGGGCCGGCAGTTTGATACCCCTGACCTATACTATACCTGTGCATTTGGTTTTTCTTGTCTAAGTGTAGAACCTTACTTTTTTCACCATTGAATTTCACTTTGTTAGATAGCGCCCAGTGTTCAAATCTGTTGAGATCCTTCTGTATCTTGAGCCTATCATCCGGAGTATTGGCTATTATTGCCAGGTTGGTGTCATCTGAAAATTTGATGAGTTCCCCATCTATTTCTTTTACCTAAATCATTGATGAAGATATTGAAGAGTAGTGGGCCTAAGTCAGAGCCTTGGGGTACACCACTGCATACATCCCTCCATGTAGATGCAATTCTATTAAGGATTACACGTTGAGTGTAGTTGGTCAGCCAGTTACAAATTCATCTTGTGGTGATGCTGTCTAACCCACATTTTTCTATCTTATTAAGTAGTAGGCTGTGGTCTACTTTATCAAATGCCTTACTGGAGTCCAAATAAATTATATCCACAGCATTTTTCTAGTCCGCTAATTTTGTCACTAAATGGATGCACTGTTCATTTGGATGCAGTATTCCAATTTATTATAAATAGTATTCCAATTATATTACAAAGAGTGATCACACACAACTCACTCCCATCAGTCCAGCTGTATAAACAGAAAGGGAACCAATTTTAGGATTAGGTCTGAGTCCGAACTGTGCTCCATATTTAATGGAATAAAACACTGCAGAACCAATATGATGTAGTGATTGACATCAAGACCTGGAAGGCTTTAGTTCAAGTGCCTTTATCAGCACAGAAGTTCACTGGGTGACTTTGAGCCAATTACTTATTGTTGTGGGAATCACTGTAAGTGGGAGTGATCTATACATCACTTTGAAATAGATCATTAGATATAAAATGATATATAATGATCTATTTCCTGGATCATTAGATATAAATCTAATAAATAATATGTATCTTTGATTTGGATGAATAGCTAAGTATAGCTAAGTATCAATCTCATTATTAAAAAGACAAGGTATTTACCTGTAAAGGAAAAAAATGAAAACACTGACCCAGATACGATCTCACTTTTCTGGGCATCAAACCATCCTGCATTTTTAAATCTAAATCGGATTACACTACTGTGATAACCAATTTATCATAGTGGCATTTCTGAATGCAGATTAGCACTTTCTTCTTAGCCCTTCACAAGTATAGGCTATTCATCACTACCTGACTGCAAGAAAGAACATTGTTCCTTTTTCTAGTCTCAAATCATTGCCAATGCACTGCTCCAGCTTTGTATTTCAGTTTTGATTCAAAATTACTGATTTTTATGAGAGCCACTTTAAGACCTTCTGAGCAGTATTGCAAGGCTTCCTGTCCTTTTCCTTTTTAGAAACATTGACAATCTTTAGGTTTCAATGTAAGAGTTATGTTTTCTTATTTCTGTGTAGGTAACCTGTCACTTTTTTCTAGTAGGTCCTTCTGTGGACCTATATAAGGAAGGTAGGAGCAGAAAAACAGGCTGTTCCCCATTGTCTGATTATTATCATTATTTTGATGGAGGGAGGGAGGGAAGAAGGAAGGAAGGAAGGAAGGAAGGAAGGAAGGAAGGAAGGAAGGAAGGAAGGAAGGAAGGAAGGAAGGAAGGAAGGAAAGACCTATATTAATATCAAATGAGATAATGTGGAAGGGAGCTATGATAACATTCATGTATGCAGACATCCAGAAAAGGAAAAGAATGAGGACGAGAAGGAAATATTCTTTAAATGGAAAAGGCAGCCATTGGTAGACCTGTCAACATAGGAGTCAGTCAGCAAGGTTTGTCTTCCCTGAATGGCTAGGAAGGGTAAGAACAGAACACACAGAACAGAACAGAACAAAGGGAAGAAGAAAGGGAGGAACCAAATAGCGGCCATGTCACCAGGCCAGCCCCATTGCCAACCTACTGTAGTCTAGATTGGGAATTTCTGAAATTGATTAGAGCAGCACAGGAGACAAGTAGCTTTGGCTGAAGAGCAGAAGTATTCTAAGTGAAAAGAAAAACAGGAAAGGGACATACTTTTTCTGCAAATGAACAGATTTCTAATCACCCCATTAATGTGGAATAATGAACAATCACTAGAATAATGATGTGTCTGCATAATTACTGGAATAATGCTGTGTTAGTAGTATGTGACTAACCTAACGCACATTGCACTTGGATACAATGTATGTAGCAAACTCTCCATTGTATACCCGTGAGAAATGAACCTAATGTATTACAATGTGTATTTCAATGTGTATTCCTTTGTTCCTGAGAAAAGGAATGTATAAAACTGAAGTCTGAACCCGCCCTCGGGGTTTAGAATTGCTGGTTGCTATTGCTTCTGAACCTGCGCAATAAATCTCTCTGCTAAAACCCTGTGGAATTCGTAAGAGTCCTTTCATTTTCCACAAGACCATCTACTAGCTATTACAAGATTCCCAATATTTTTGGACCAGTGGGCACATCTGGAATTTTGAAAGCATACAGAATGACACCTCAGTGGGCAGTGAGTAATTACCTGCTAAACTATGTTTGCAATACACTATCCAGGTGTACTGGCTCTTTTTATCCTGATGTTTAGCTAACAAGAGGAATTTACTCTCTAATAATGTCACCATCTTTTATTTAACACTAAGCAAGGTTTGGCAGCATCTCACTAGAATTGGTTTGATTTGATTAAGCTTGACTTGATGCTTAGTGATAATAATTGTTAACCAATAACACCCTGTGTATTATTTCAATTTATAACAGTCTATTTAAAAAGTTATACCTTTGCTAATTACATTTATTTATTGTATTTTTAATTTTATTTCTATCTTACAGTATATCCATGTTATTTTATGTTGCACAAAAGTGGTCAACAGTTTAAATTAAGCTTTTTAACTTTGCTGATTTTTGGACTAAGCACAAAACACATTTTTTACATTTAACCAGAATGGAAAAATAGTGAAGCTTCTCTCCCACAGCCTTGCCATCTTGCAAGATGCTGGCTACCCTTTCCTCCCCCTTTCTCTCAAGTGAACATACTTCAAAAGAGAGTGCTAGATTGCAAGGATGCATCATCTTGCTAAGTCTGATATACAAATATATAAATAGACATATCTTATTATTCCAAATCTCCCTGGAGCATATGTGATACCCCAGAGATATTGCCATTAATAGCAATCATGTCTGGGGCTGGTGCTTTGCAACCTGATTGTTTGTTGTTTCCAAAAACTAAAGGTCACTTAAAAAATTTGGGGGGGGATAGGGTATCCTGGTGCCCATAGGTGCCATATTGGTTGCCCAGGAGTTATTACAACTGCTAGATTGAATAAATCTAATCTTACACTGTACTACTAAATTTCATTTTATAATAACTGAACAAAGCTGATAGAATATTCTCCAAAGTTATTTTTGATCATGAGAAGTAATTTTTCTATGGTAAGTTCCATTAAGCAATCCATATAATCTTGGAAATATGGTAAGAATCCATTGCAGTTTTAGAGCAATGTGCAAATTAATTCATTATTTCATAATTCCACAATCTTAACATAAAACTACCCAGACAAATTTTTATTAAAAAAAAAAACCTGACGGCCATTTTCAAGCACATACATTCTTTGCTCTAGTGATGTGGTGTAGTAACATCTTCTAAGAAATAGGTGTTCACTTGATTTGGCTGTTTCCATCCACTGTTCCTGAAACTTTTTATATTGGAAGGTGGGGAGGAGAGAGATGAATGGTTACATAACATGCCAATGTAAATTGCCATCAGGCAGTGTCTGCAGGACTGATAAAAAATGTTGCATATGGATTCCTAATTAAAACAAAGCAATTGACTCCTCTGTAGCAGCTGTTTCTGAAATTAGTGGTTTTATTACAGCTATAATGTAGACAATTGAGAGAACTGATCATGATTTATTCACGTGCTGCAATATTGGATTTTTGCAATCTCTGCCACTAGCTCAGATGTATATGGGGACTAAGCACATGGCTGAAAAACCAAGAAGTTGCCCCAACACCAGTGGTAGGATTCAGCCAGTTTGCACCACTTCAGCAGAACTGGTAGCTAATTTTTTGTTGCCCGGGCCCAGAATGGACTTCCAGAAGCAGCATCCACACAGAGAACCGGTTGTTCACATATTTGAATTCCACCACTATCCAACACTGTGCTCACTTCTGCATTACTGAAAAAGACAATAAAGATAGGAAAACATTTACATATTTTAAGTTCACAGATGCAAATCTGAAAATAAGCACTTTCCTGCCCTAGGTATACTTTCTCTATAAACTGGGCACAAACTGGACAGCTGTACAAATCAAGGAGGTCTTCAAGCAGGGGTAGGTCTTTGTGTGGCACGAAATATGGTTTCTGTAATAGTTATTCTTCATAACATTGTGTGCCATGCCACTAGATAAAACAGTCAAAACCCAGATGAGCATAGATTAACACCAAGGTTAACATCAGACCAATAATCAAGAAGAAAACAATACCCCCAATCAAGGAAGCACCAAACAAACTAACAGAAAAACAGCACAACCAAAGAACCCCCAAGATCATCCCCCACCAACACTGGCAGGGCAAGCCACTAGAATAGGAGTGTCAAACTGCCGGCCTGCGGGCTGATTGCATCATGCGGAGGCCGCGCCCACCCTAGCTCTGGCAATGCGAAAAACGTCTCGATACATCGTGACACGTCACATGACGTGGTGAGTTTGATACCCGTGCACTAGCACATAAACTTAGAGCAAACCTCACTCCTCACTAGCGCCGATGATGTTATCCAACTTGGATAATGAAACATCTGCAAGAAAACAACCAAGCTCAGAAAGCACCAAGGACCCCTCATTTCAACCCGGAATTGCAAATATTCTCCTTTATCGGTACTACATAAAACAGCCTAACCTCTAAACCCGAGAAGTGGCTTCAGTGAAAATCTCTGATGAGAAGTGTTGAAAAATATCTTGTCTGTGCTGCTGGGAGAATTTTATGAAGTGTTGTTTCTGGTAGTAACAAGCAGCTGCATTCAAAAACAAGTTAGAGTTAAAAAACGAAATGCCTTTATTTAGCTTACCATCATTCCAGAGGCTACTTAGAGAAGTTATCCAAACTTGCAACTTGGATAGGGCAGGTAAGCAGAGGGATGTTTTGAAAAAAAAAAAACCTAAAACTACAATGCATACATTTGAGAGTAGTAACTGATTTTCCTCTTCCCATCCCCACCCCACTGCCCTGGCTTCAGAGTTAACCTCTTTAGTCCAATCATGATTCAGTTGCTATTCAGATGCCTACATGCACAGGCTACACTGTAGCCAATTGTTTAGATCTTAGTCAAGAACATATTTCATGGAGAAGGACAAGTCCAAAGAACTATTGGAAACAATGCTTATGTAGAAAAAAAATGAATTTTCACTGAACAAAATTACCTTCATTCACACAGAAGGTAATGAATGTTCTTTCTGTTACCTAATGTCTTATTTCTAAGAAAGACCTATTTTTTTTAAAAAAAAAAAACCAATAGCATCAACTTGGAAACACTCTGGTTGGAACCTAACACTATTCTTTATATTAGCAACAAATTTGTATCTTTGAAGGTACGCTGTGATTGCATGTAATGCTGTAATCTGGGATAGACAGGGTCTTGACATCAACCACTTTTTTATTTTACCCTATCCCGATTTTAGTTGGCTAATATATACATTTTTATATGAAGCTTTTGGATGTATTTGTCTGAGCAGTTTAGACAGCTTGGAAAAATCTATTTTGTCTTGTTTCTACAACCGTTTGAATCTTGTCCTACATAGAGACTCTGTGCCTTGTTAATCATCCACCTAATTCCACAAAGAAGTAACTGTTTAGAGCAGGATTAGACACCCTCAGTGCTTTCAGATGGTGGGATGTTAGCTTCCAAATATCCAGAGAGAATTGTATTTATTTTTTATTTATTTTTTAAAATTTATAAGCCGCCCCACTCCCGAAGGACTCTGGGCAGCTAACAATAAAAAACACATAAAACATAACAGAACAACAGTACAAAGACAATCATCCAGGGGTCAGGTTTTATAAACCCCAGGCCTGCCGGAAAAGCCAGGTCTTAAGTAGCTTACGGAAGACCAACAGGGTGGGAGCGGTCCTAATCTCCAGGGGGAGCTGGTTCCAAAGCGTGGGCGCCATCACAGAGAAGGCCCTCCTCCGCGGCCCCGCCAAATGGCACTGCTTGACCGACGGGGCCTGAAGGAGGCCCAGCCTGTAGGATCTAACCGGACGTAGGGAACTATGAGGTAGTAGGCGGTCTCGCAAATAGCCTGGCCCTGAGCCATATAGGGCTTTAAAGGTAATGACCAACACCTTGAATTGGACCCGGAAACCAATAGGCAACCAGTGCAGCTCACGGAGGATAGGTGTAACGTGGGTGTATCGAGGAGCACCCACTATCACTCGCATGGCTGCATTCTGGACCAACTGTAGTCTCCGAATACTTTTCAAGGGTAGCCCCATGTAGAGCGCATTGCAGTTGCAGTAGAATGACCAGGGAGAAGGAGTTTGGGCAGTCCAATTCCCATTCCAAAACCTGGAATGCAGCTTTGCAAAGCATTCAGTAGGGTGCTTCACAAACCACCTTCTTCAATGCATTAGGCAGCCATGCCCACTGGATGTCTCAAATAAGGCTGCTTCAGAGGTTCATGAAAATGATCTGTATGAACGAAGATGATTAGGGAGCTGGAGGCTAAAACATATGAAGGAATCAATTATGTCTAGTCTAGTGAAAAGAAGGACTAGAAGTGACATGATAGCCATGTTCAAATATCTGAGGGGCTGCCACAAAGAAGAGGGGGGGACAACCTATTTTCCAAAGCACCAGAAGGCAGGACAAGAAACAATGGATGGGAATTAATCAAGGAGAGAAACAACCTAGAACTAAGGAGAAATTTCTTGACAATGAAAACAATTAATCACTGGAGGTTTTTAAGATAACATTGGACAGGCATTTGTCCAGAATGGTATAGGATCTCCTGCTTGAACAGGGGGTTAGATTAAAAGACCTCCAAGGTCCTTTCCAACTCTGTTGTTCTGTTATGTATGTATACAGCCAAAACTCCATTGCTAGGAAAGCACTCAAACAGTCACAACTTAATCTTCTGCTGCTCAATATTTCATACTCCATATACTCCATATACAACTTTTCTTTGACCATTCAGCGAAGAGGGCAGCAGCAGCCTCTTTCAATCCAGGCCACACCTTCCATGTGCAAACAAAAGGCAGGGACGTTCAGCGGTATGATGTCACCACGCTTTTCGTGTGTCTGCTTGGGGAATCTCAGACTATTGTCATCCAGTAAACCATGGTTGAACAAGCCATAGGACCAACAGGCCTGGCTGGCTCCTCAGTATCAACTGAAGGCAGAGATCATATTGGTTGGAACGGCTTCAGAAGAACAGCACACGGTGTGATGGCAGCCACTTGAACAGCATGTGCACAGTGGTATAGAAAGCAAAGGGAAGACTACTACACTATATATTTCCCAGGAAAATCATATTAATGGTGGCAAAACCTAACAATGGCCCCAAGTATGGGTGCCCCTTAAATGGGGCAGGGGTGCTAAGAATCTCCCGGCCTGCTAGAAACATGATAAACCTAAAATTACAAATTGGTACGTGGAATCTGAGAAGCCTATATGAACATTATCCAAGAAATGTCCAAATACAATATCTCTATATTGGGAGTGAGTGAAATGCTCTGGCCTGAAAATGGAATGTGTAGAATAGGAAATTATACTATCTACTACTCTCATGAGAAAAGCAAACACCATTGAAATAGAGTAGCTATAATCATAAACAATCTTGTAAATAAATGCATCAATATAATATAATAAATGCATCCAATAGAGTGATGATGATCCAAATAAATACGAATGTTATACAAGTTTATGCTCCCACAGCTGACAGTGATGAGGAGGATTTAGAGAAGTTCTATGAAAATATAAGTAGTGTACTGAAAACCCTAAAAAGTAATGATATCACAATACTCATGGGGGACTTCAATGCAAAAGTGGGAGAAGGAAGTGATGCTCCTGTAGTTGGAAACTTTGGCTTAGGAACCAGAAATTGTAGAGGTAACAGATTTGTAGACTTCTGTAAGGAATATAGGCAATGTGTGATGAATACTTTTTTCAAGTTGCCAAAAAGACACCTCTACACTTAGAGATCACCAGCAGATACACGAAATAACATAGTAAGGAACCAAATTTACTATTTTACAATAAATAAAAGATTTAGAAACTCTGTAAAATCAGTAAAGACATACCCAAGTGCAGATGTACCATCCGATCATAATCTACTACTTGCCGAAGTCCAGCTGAAACTAAAAAGGATGAAAAACCTGAATCCTGCTAAACCAAGAATTGACAGAGACTTCATCATTAAACATGGAGGTAAGATAAAAGAAGAACTAGAAAATCATTTAAGAGAAACCAACAACCTGAATGATGAAGATGTAGAAGTGAACTGGAATAAATTTAAAAATGCAATAGTAGAAGTAACAAATTCAAAACAGAGACAGGAGTACCACAAGAAACAACAGTGGGTGGTGGAGGAAATTCTTCATCTCATGGATGAAAGAAGATCCTAATACAAATAAAAACAAAGAAAAATACAATGAATTGCAGAAAACAATTAGAAGAAAAATTCAACTGGCAAAAGAAAAGTAGTTTGCAAAGAGATGCAAGTAAATAGAAGAGCAGAACTTATGCATGATATTTTCAATTTACACAAAAAAATGAAAGAAGCAGCAGAGGAAACCAACAACTTAGTTGACAAAGAGGGGGAAATTATCTTAGATGAAGACGAAACTCCAGCTGCTTCTCGTGTCTGTATTTCCCGCCAAGGACGCAGACACTAGGGATGATATAGATATGGGAAGTACTGTATAACAACTGGACCAAACATCACTATGGAGGAGGTTGAACATGCAATAAAAATAGCAAAAATAAGAAAAGCCACAGGACCTGATGATATCTCCAGTAGAAATTTTAAAATTGCTGGAAGACAATGGGAAGAATTTTTTACTGCAGCTCTTCAACTGAATATATGAAACAGGAAAGATACCAAATGATTGGCTAAAATCAACCTTTGTGACAATCCTCCGAAAAATAAACGCAAAGAAGTGTATTGAATACAGAATAATAAGCTTAATGAGTCATGCCCTGAAAATATTCTTGAGAATAATTCACACAAGAATATACAGCAAAATTGAGGAGCGTCTAGGTAACACACAATTTGGTTTCAGAAACAATCTTGGTACATGAGATGAGCTATTCAGCATTCAAATTCTTGTACAGCATTGTAGAGATGTCAATCACAGTGTTTACATGTGCTTCATTGATTTTGAAAAAGCATTTGATAAAATAAGACACAGCAAACTATTAGAAATCCTGAAACAAGGGGGACTAGATGACAAAGACATTTAGTCCAAATCATAAAGAATCTATATTGGTATCAGGTAGCAAATGTGAGACTAGGCCCAAAATACTCAGCTGATGCAGAAATACGAAGAGGGGTCAGAGAGAGATGTATTCTGTCTCCACAGTTGTTCAATATCTATTCTGAGTCAATCTTCAACAAGGCACTGGAGAACATCAATGCTAGCATCAAAGTAAACGGTGTTTGGATCAAAAATTTAAGATATGCTGACAATACAGTTCTGCTTGCCAGTAAGCATAAAGACCCTCAGCTCCTCATCAACAGAGTCACAGAAATATCTGAAAAATACGGCTTGAAGCTTAACACCTCAAAAACCAAGATCATGGTTGCCAGCAAACAATCCATTAATTTACCACTAATAAATTCAGAAGGAATACCATTAGAAAAACTTGAAAGGATCACGCACCTCGGTTCTAATTTACACGAAAGCTGGGACATGACCACTGAAGTAACAACAAGGATAGAGAAAGCTCGAACAGCATTCTTCAAAATGAAAAAGGTCTTCTGCAATCAGGACCTAGGCCTAAGATTGAAAATCAAGCTTGTCAGATGTTATATTTTTTTCTATCCTGCTCTATGGAGTAGAGAGTTGGTCTCTGACAGAAGGTCACTGAAGAGACTAGAAGCATTTGAAATGTGGATTTACAGGCGGCTGTTACGAATAAGCTGGGTTGACAAGATCAGAAATGAGGAGGTGATAAGCTGCCTGGAAAAGCCAAGGGAAATCATCAAAACAATTAAAAAAATGAAATAATATTTCAGACATGTGATATGACACCCAGAAAAATACAACATACTCCATTTAATCCTCCAGGGAAAGATTGAAGATAAACGAGGTCCAGGCAGAAGAAGAACATCATGGTTTCAAAATCTAAGGAACTGGTTTGGACAAAACTCAGCAGCACTTTTTCACGCGGCTGCTGATAAAAACAGGATCGGCAACATGACTGCCAACGTCCGATAATGGATATGGCACAAGAAGAAGAAGAAGAATACTCCATATACAAATGTCTATAAATAAAAATAGGTTTATAATGACCTACTTGTCAATATTATTTTGAGGGCAAAGCAACATATCAATCCTGAGGTTCTGTTGAATATTTATAGCACCTTTGAAAGACAGATCTTTGCCACTTCTTTTAGTGTCATGTAAAGCTCTGCACACAAGACCTCCATAGGACTGCAAAAGGTTTATGACTTTTCTGGCATATTTTTAGCTCAACAAAGAACAAAAGAAATCAGCCATATTCTAAATGATCAAAGTGAGATGTGGGAAGATGAGACTTTGATCTTTGTGGAAGATAAGATGTTCAAAGTTAAGGGCATTCATTCTATATCTTCCCCCTCAGTTCTCTTAATCATAACTCTGCTGTTTGCAGTTGTGTGGCAACTGTCAGAAAGACTTGTGCTCAAATGTATTCAGTGCTCCTTGTTTTTGCAAACATTGAAAAAGAATGAAAATCATCTGTCTGGAGGCACAAGGCACCAGGGATAAAATCTGCAACTCTGTTTTACTTTCCAAAGGCTATTCAATTCCTACAATATTAATGGAGACAATTTGTCAGGAAAGCTTTCAATTATTCTTAATTGCACAGAACTTTTGTTCAAGTCTCTGAAGTACCACAGAGAAGTCAAATATAGGATGGGCTACTAAAGAAATATACTCCTTTGGCCCCACTCAACTTTAAAACCATCTTGCTTTTTTCTTCTATCTTATGAGTTTAAAAGCTATAATAAACATTATTTTATTTCTTACTCCATACTCTACTGGCATATCTTTTCTACTGAGCAAACAAAATTCTAGAGGCAGGAGTAAACTATTCTGCTATTTACTTTACTGAAATGTCTAGGACAGGGCTTTTCAACCTTTTCACCCATTGTACCACTTTTAGGATATGGCAATATCCGAATACCACTAGTTGCCTAGCAAGGTGTCAAAAACTTGATGACCCCCCCCCCAAAAAGGAAAAAAGTGATGAAGTACAGGTAGTCCTCGACTTACAACAGTTCGATTAGTGACTGTTCAAAGTTACAATGGCACTGAAAAAAATGCCCCCAAGCCACAGCCTAGCAAGACACCTGCCTGCCCACCTGGTGGCACTCTTCCTCCTGTCCGAGGTTTTCATTGTTGTGAGCTTTTCTGTTGAGGATTGGCAGCAGGGGTGGGGTGGTGGGGTGTTTGGTTTTGATTCCCCCCCATCTGCTGGGTGGTTGCAGCAGGTTTTGGTCGCTTCACATGACCCTGGAACACTGTGACTGTCATAAATATGAATCAGTTGCCAAGCATCTGAATATAAATCACAAGACCCTGGAGATACTGCACCATTCCAGCTGATCAGCATTTCTTGGCTCAGCAGAAGTGCCAGGATCAGCGCCGAGCCTGGTGCTGACTCCAGCTGGAGCCTGGTGCTTCTGATCCTGGCACTTCCACTGAGCCCTGAGAGCCCTGCAGCTCCAGCCATCTCTTGCTCAGGCTTGTGCAGTGCTGCCACCGGTTTAGCTCATTCCCTTCCCTTCTAGGATGGTCGCATAGCACCTGCCAAGTGCCAATGTACCACAGGTGGTACCCGTACCACTGGTTGAAAAACCTTGGTCTAGGAAAAATAAGCTCTGCTTAGTCTGCAAGAATTAAAGAATAAACAAGCAGCTCAAATTGAACAGGATCACAGGGATGCTTAATCAATGAACAGCAAGAATCTTACAGCAACTCTTAATTTAAACAACCTTGTTTTAAAATCTTGTTCAAAGCCACAAGTGCTTTCTGAATAAAAATCATATTCTTGTTTTTTTTAATGAATTCCTTGTGATAACGAAACTACAAATTTGAACTTTTATCCAGTATTTCTTTCAATGTGTTTTTGAGTATTCTTGAATATTTATAAGTCTGCCCATGGCCATGGAACTTAATTGTGCTTTCCAATTATGAAGCTTCTGCTGCTATGCCTACCAATAATTTGTAAATTCCTATAATGCTTAAAGCAAAAATTAAAATTATGGTTAGTTTAAAATGCATATGACTCCCATTTTAAAAAAAACCCGATAAAGGGAAAAAATCAATGTTATGTGATTGTTGTGCCTTGTTAATTCAGTTTGTTTTTTCCACAAAAACTAGCCCTGCTTTTCCTGCATTGATTCATCTGCATGGTCCACTCTATAACAGATCCACATAAAGAACTAGAACCAGAAATCACATGGTCAGTCAATCATTAGGTAACTCTGTGGTCTATTTGACCAGCTTGACAAGCCTGATTCTGTTTTAGAACCACATAATATTAAACAGCAACTCCCAGCATAGTTGTTACTACAGATTCAGGTTCCTAAGCTTCTCAACATACCTTAGGCTTAGGGATTATAATTGAAGCCACCCCACCTTTGCATCTTACATCTACTGTTGAAGGAAAAGTCTTCATTATGGTTCAGTCCAAGCCGGGAATAAACAACATGGCGACTGGTTTAGAAAGAAGGTTGCAGTTTATTGAAGAGGAGAGCCAGACAGAAAGGTGGCTCTGGAAGAAAAGAGAGAGAGCACATGCAGGGAGTGGGTTTTTTATACCCTCTGGGGCTCTTGAGGTTGTTTCCTGTTCCTGTTTGAGGCTTTGTATTCTGGAGCACAGGGGAACTACCAGAGCTGATGTAGTTCCCATCCTCAAAAAAGGAAAAAAAATGGACCCAGGAAATTACAGACCTATCAGCCTGACCTCAATACCTGGGAAGATTCTGGAAAAGATAATCAAACAACGAATCAATGAACACCTAGAAGCAAATAAAGTCATTACTAAAAGCCAACGTGGGTTTGTCAAAAATAGATCATGCCAGACAAATCTTATTGCATTCTTTGACCAAGTGACAAAATTAGTGGATCAGAGGAATTCTGTGGACATAATTTACTTGGACTTTAGTAAGGCATTTGATAAAGTAGACCACAACCTACTACTTGATAAGATAGAAAAATGTGGGGCAGACAGCATCACCACCAGATGGATCCGTAGCTGGCTGACTGGCCGTACTCAGCGAGTGGTCCTCAATGGAACCGTATCTACATGGAGGGAAGTATGTAGTGGGGTGCCACGGGGCTCTGTTCTGGGCCCAGTGGTCTTCAACATCTTCATCAACGATTTGGATGAGGGGGATAAATGGGGAACTTATCAAATTTGCAGACGACACCAAGCTGTCAGGAATAGCCAACACTTCAGAAGACAGGCTTAAGATATAGAAGGATCTGGACAGGCTTGAACACTGGGCACTAACTAACAAAATGAAATTCAATGGTGAAAAAAGCAAGGTTTCTACATTTAGGCAAAAAAAACAACAACAAATGCACAAGTACAGCATAGGTGGCACTTTGCTCAATAGTAGTAACTGTGAGAGGGACCTCGGAGTCCTAGTAGACAATCACCTAAATATGAGCCAGCAGTGTGCTGCAGCTGCCAAAAAGGCCAACACAGTGCTAGGCTGCATTAACAGAGGGATAGAATCAAGATCACTTGAAGTGTTAATACCACTTTACAATGCCTTGGTAAGGCCACACTTGGAATACTGCATCCGTTTTGGTCACCGCAATGTAAAAAAGATGTTGAGACTCTAGAAAGAGTACAGAGAAGAGCAACAAAGATGATAAGGGGACTGGAGGCTAAAGCATATAAGGAATGGCTGCTGGAATTGGGTATGTCTAGTTTAATGAAGAGAAGGATGAGGGGAGACATGATAGCAGTATTCCAATATCTCAGGGGCTGCCACAAAGAAGAGGGAGTCAAGCTATTTTCCAAAGCACCTGAAGGCAGGACAAGAAGCAACGGGTGGAAACTAATCAAGGAGAGAAGCAACCTAGAACTAAGGAGAAACTTCCTGACAGTTAGAACAATTAACCAGTGGAACAACCTGCCTCCAGAAGCGGTGAATGCTCCAACACTGGAAGTTTTTAAGAAAAGACTGGACAGCCATTTGTCCGAAATGGTATAGGATTTCCTACCTGAGCAGGGGGTTGGAGTAGATGACCTCCAAGGTCCCTTCCAACTTTACTATTATTATTATTATTCCTGTGTCATGTGTTTTGACTTGAGTCTGAATGTGCCCCTTTGGCATCTGTGGGTTAATCCTATTATGTCCTGTCTTAGAGTTTGGGTGGGGTATGTAGATTTTAGGTGTCTTTGTCTTCTTAATCTTGTAGCTGGGGCCCTCCAACCTTCCTGGATTATTTACATCTGCATTTCTACAGAGCTGGTTTCTGCTTGGGGGAGGGAGACTTGGGGCTATTAAAAAAACTGGGCATGTTTTTCTGCCTCTTTAAGTTCCTTTGAGGAAATATATTTTTCTGCCTTTTTAATATTTCCTTCTCTGGAAAGCTGACTTCCCCCACTACTATGTCTTGAGAAACAGAGTTTCTCAGTCTCAGCAACATTTAAGAAGCGTGGACCTCCGTACCAAGAATTTCTCAGCCAGAAACTCACACTTCTACAGCTGCTGAGATTGAGAAATACTGATATAAGATGAAGCCTTCTTCTTTTCCTCTAACTCAGGAGGGCAGAGAAACAGAACGGAGAATGGTAAATTAAAGTGAGTGTCTTTGCAACATCATTCAGAGAGAAAAGGGAAGAATCTGCCTGCACTAGCAAGGCAACAGAGAGAAAAAAGCCACAGGTTTTTGCTAAAGCTGCTAAAGCCACAACAGTTTTTTTTTTGCTAAAACTGTACCTCTGCCTTCTCTGTTCTTTAGTTGTGTAAAATGTGGGTAAGAGAGTAACATTATCATAGGCAGTTTGGTTTAGTGGTTAAAGCACCCACATTTTACACAACTATGAGCTGCATAGCCAACAAGAAGAGAAGCAGTTTCCAAATCTGTCTCCAGAAAAAAATCATTAAGACAGCCCTTTCTCCCCCCCCCCAAAAAAAGGTAGATTGGTGATCCCTTCCAGAGAGCTGCATAAAGAACAGAGAAGGCAGAGATACAGTTTTAGCAAAAAAACCTGTTGTGGCTTTAGCAGCTTTAGCAAAAACCTGTGGCTTTTTTCTCTCTGTTGCCTTGCTAGTGCAGGCAGATTCTTCCCTTTTCTCTCTGAATGATGTTGCAAAGACACTCACTTTAATTTACCATTCTCCGTTCTGTTGTTAGGGTAGGTCAAATAGGAGGAGAAAGTACATTAAGTATATTTGCCGCCTTGAGTTACTTATAAAACAGAAATGGTAAGATTAAAAAAAAAAATCTAATAAAATATCATATACTACTACTACTACTACTATTATTATTATTATTGATCATCGCACAGTCAGCCAGATGTTCAGACTGGATTTGGCATTTTGTCTACCTATCGAGTCCTTACCCAGGACCTGGGATAGGCAGATGTGGATGTTTGATGGTATTACAGGTATCGTCGCAGGATGGAAGCAGTTCCTAGTAAGGCCGCCTTTTGCAATTGACTAATAGCGAATTTGTCAATGCCAATGGTGTTCAAGTGGTGCTCCAGTTGTTTTGGGATTGCACCCAAGGAGCCTATTACTATTGGTACTACCCTTGCTTGCTTTTGCCACAGTCTTTCTATTTCTATTTGTAGGTCTTTGTATTTTGTTATCTTCTCCAGTTCTTTCTCTTCTATTCTGCTATCTCCAGGCACTGCCACATCCACTATCCAGACTTTTTTGTCTTTCTTATCGACAATTGTTAAGTCTGGGGTGTTATGTTGCAGGTGCTTGTCTGTTTGAATTCTGAAGTCCCAGAGCAGTTTAATTTTATCATTTTCTATGACTTTCTCTATTTTATGATCCCACCAGTTTTTGCTTACAGGCAAATGATATTTTTTGCAGATCTTCCAATGCACCATTGTTGCTACTTTGTCATGCCGCTGCTTGTAATCAGTCTGTGCAATCTTCTTGCAACAGCTTACCAAGTGGTCCACTGTTTCTTCAGCTTCTTTGCATAGGCGACACTTATTGTCTGTTGCTGTCGTCTCAATTTTGACTTTGTATGCATTTGTCCTTAAAGCTTGGTCTTGTGCAGCCAGAATTAGTCCCTCGGTTCTTTCTTCAATTTTCCTGCTCTTAGCCATTGCCAGGTCTTGTTAATATCTGCTTTCCCAGCTATTTTTTTAACGTACTGGCCATGTAGTGCTTTGTCTTCCCATGCCTCTATTCTGTTCTTCATTTGCTCTTTCTTGTAGGCCAGTTTGGTCTCTCCAGTAGTCAGTAAGCCTTCCTGATATACTAATTTCAGTGCATCTTCATCATTGTTCTTCAGATATTCTTCCAAAGCCATTTTTTCTTCTTCAACCATCTGATGTACTTGTAGCATTCCACGCCCACCTATTTGCCTTGGTAGATAAAGTCTGTCAATGTCACTGCGTGGATGAAGGGCATGATTCATTGTCATTATTTTTCTGGTCTTCCTATCCATTGCTTTTAGTTCTGCTTGAGTCCAGTCCACTATTCCAGCTGTGTATCTAATAACTGGGATTGCCCAGGTGTTGGTTGCCTTTATGGTATTTCCTCCATTGAGTTTGGACTTTAAGATCTTCTTCACTCTCTTGATGTATTCACCTCTAATCTTTTTCTTGACTTCAGTGTGCTTGATGTTGTCAGCTTGAAGGATACCCAAGTATTTGTAGTAATCTTCCTCATTATTACTATTATTATTATTATTATTATTATTATTATTATTATTATTATTATTATTTACCAAATTTATTTGCCACTCATCTCACCACAAATATATTTAGAAAGCAGGACTCCGGTCCCTCTCTTTCTCTCCCTGGTTTTAAAATGGATGAGTTGTGTTCCAAGAAGCAGGGAAATTATCTCATGGTTGAGAACTGTCATGTTTATCTTCTTACATACTGGAAGCTGATTTATTTTTACTTGAACCAATTCTCTTCCATAGGAGCTTTCTCAGCTGAGTTCAGTTATTACAAGACACAACCGACTGTTTTATTTTGCCTTACCCACTTCAAGTCCTAGGAGATTCATATGAATATAGCTTAGATGATGGATAATTCTGATTGTTCCATTTTTCTCTGTCACCGGTGTGCTTGAGTTTCCAGAAGAAGCCTAAACATTGGGACTCTGAGCTTCTGCTTGAGTTTTCCTGTTGTTTTGTTCCTCAAGAAAAACAGACAAAAGACTTGCCTGTCTGGCTAGTTGGCAGGAGCCATCGTTGGAGAGTAGCCACAGAGCATGTTGACTTGTTCTCACCTCTCAACATGACATAGGTGATTCTTGAGTGCATTTTCCGGCTCTGTTTTTAAAAAGGCACTTTTCTACCTGTAATGCCACCAAATCCTGTTGCCCAGTTCAGCTGGTGTACCTTTATCAAAGGCTGTGTTGATTGGCTATGCCCAGAGTTCCAAGAAAGCCCCTCCCCTTGGCCCCTGCTGATTGGCTCAGCCGTGCCATTTTGTGCTTTGAAGTCCTCCTTTCCTTTTTTAAGACCTTCAACACCTGAATGCTAAGCCTTAGACACACACACACACACACACACATTATCATTTCAGTCGCAAATCAGTGCAGTGATTG